ATTCCCTCACAATGATGCACCAACGGCACACAGAGGGCAAATAATAATTTGCATGTTAAGCTGCGCCGAAAATAAACTGCAAAAGAATTTTCTGTTCGCATAAAATAGTCATAAACGGAATTCGCTCAGCCTTCTCGGAAAATGGCCGCCGACGGAAAATGGAGGAGGCTACAAAGTAGCGCATCGGTAATTTCATTTTCTATTTACATACAAACGCACACACATGTCCCCAGTATACGTATATAAGAGTACTTATACGGATGCAGGCCGAGGCACACGCACGCACGAATTAAAAATGCATTAAAGTCAAATTGCAGTGCAGCACATTCGCATATGTATGCCAACCAAACAGTGCGAGTCGATGCTTTAAGGCAGGGGAAAACCTTTTGTTTTCAAAAATTAAAGGTTAACAAAGAATTTTTGCTCAAAGATAAAAGGTAAATTTTTCTGCCCTAATTATTGACTGAAAATAAAATACACGCCAAAAAAAAAAAAACTGATTACAATTTTTATTTAAAACATATTTAATACATTTTATTTCTGAATGTTTTACTGACCTTCAATTTTGTAACGCACTGTTCATATATTTGCCTACGAGTTGTCATTAAGTTACAAGACCAAAAAAGTTGTATAAAACTCAGAAGATAAACGTTAATGCATGTGTCTAAATTAATGTCTGCGTGCATAGCCTACGTCTTGTATCTTGAGATTGGAGTGACAGCCATTAACCAAAGCATCATCTGGAGTTTGGGGGCTTGTGGACTTAACATGAGTGTGTAATTTTGTCATTAATATTAATTTAAAAGTTGAAAGCAAATAATGAAGATAAATCCTTCAGTGGCTCATTTGAGAAATTAGGGGTACGAACCATGCCTATATCAAATCTCTTATATTTTTTTTAGTGGACATATTTTAAGAAAACCTCATTAAAACAGTAACTAAGATCGATCTCGGTATGTTTGGGCATAATTCCTGAGTCCATCTATGCCATATTTACATTTACATATCCATATTCCGCATTTCCCATCAATAACTCACGGGTGTCAAACAGGCAAGTAAACACAAATTAATTTCTGCTGTCAACGGCTAGACAAAGCCTTCCGAAGACTAGGCAATGCTGAGGCCATGAGTTAGCTGCTCTTCCGCCACCGCCCCTATTTGCCAGCCAACGCCCCCCGATGTCCTTGACAATGGCAGGATACGGGGAAAATTATCAGCTCATTTGTCAGTCGGCGCCGAGAGGTGGAAAATAAATTACGCGACACTTTAGCCACCAAGCCTTGTAAGTTGACAATTCTGTTTGGCTGGATTGTGTGTGTGCGGGTGTCACCAAAGTTGACAGCTGGGCGGTGGGCGGTAGATGGGTTCTAAGTGGGTGGGAAATTGCCTATATCCACACAAAGTCACGCACCACAGCAACAAGACGTGTTCCGTCTGTCTGCCTTGTTTGTTTGTTTATTCCGCGCGGCTTTTGTTTGACACAAGCCATTTGTCAACTCATTATTAGCCTTCGCCCGGGTCCGCAGCAAGTGTTGCTAATTGAAAACGTGTTTCAAGTCCAATCCCTTTCAACTTGTAAATTCATTCCCTTCTTGTTGGGTTGTCACATCGCTGACCGCCTGGACAAGTGCATGGCTGCATGGTCACGCCCCATCAATGGCAGTAATTAAACCACATCGCGCTTCTGTCAGCGGTACTCTGAAATATCCTTTATTGGGAAAATAAGAAATAAAGAGTTCGGCTTGAAAAGAAATTAATTTCGCGACCCGAATCAAATGCTCTGTAGGTGAACAATATATACAAAATATATAAAATAGTTTTAACTTGAGTAGAACCTGACACTTACAATTTTATATTTAAATATAAAAAAGGGGATATAATAACTTCTTGCTTAAAGTTTATGTTGTTACTTTACATTTATTATCAATTTACTTATTTAAAAAATGTTTACCATTTTGTAAGAGTATAAAAACCATTAACTGTTAAATGACTTTAAATGCATTTCATTCGGTTTCTGCCTCTTTTTTCGCATCGCATCATGTCAGTTGGATTTTGGTTTTGTGGTCATTTTACTTCTTTACGCGGCAGGGGGATAAACCCATTTAAAATGCATCCCAATGTCGACTGACCCCGAGCAAAGTTCAGGGGCCACTAAGCCGGGCCTTGAGCTACGTGATGCTGTTCAGCTCGGTCGTAAAATCTGTGCACACATAAAACTTAAGCAAACACAGCTTGAGCTCCTTTATTTCCGTGTGTTTGGGTGAGTGCGAGGGTGTGTGTGTGTGTGTTTTTCTTTTAGCCCCGATTCTTTTGGTTATAAAACTTCCAGTCGAAATAAAAGGGTCAACATTGTGATTTTATGTGAGTGGTAGCAGCAGGATCAGCAGCAGCAGCAGGAGCAAAAGCAGGAGCAACGTTTCCGTTTCCGTTTCTGGGCTGCCAAACTACAACTTACTTAGCGCACACACAAAGTGAAGTGTAACACGATATGTTGACATGTGTGGGTGCGTAATTCAATAGCAAGCTCGAGTGTTTGAAGTGCTGTGGTGCGTAAATTTGTGTAGTCCAAACCAGCCCCATATCATCCCTACATCCCACCCACCACCGCCCACCGCCCATCGCCCACTCGACCATCTTTCAACTTGGCTCTTAGTGTCAGTCATGGTGGATTAAGCAATTGAAATTGGATTAGACGTAGACTTCCCGCTCACTCAGTCCGTCCGGCAACTTCAATTTGCATGTGTCGGTAATCCCGCTATCTGAGCCAACCAACTGACATGTCATTGCGAAAGGCTTAAACGCCAGTAACCCCGCCATCTAAGTTCAAGTCCTCTCCCCCAAGTACCTGCACTTTGGAGTGCCCGAGGTAAACAGAAAACGCTTTTGTAGCTGGCAAATAAATTAATGTTGCCTCTCAAGTTCAAACTCAATAAATTATGGGCCAGCACGAAGACACGGCACTTGGAGAAAGCCCAAGATAGATTTTGTAAACGAATTCCTAATAAATTTAAAATATATTCTATGAAAATAACAAGTATCGAATAAATTTTATTCTACTAATAATTTCTATTATTATTCTATGATGTTTAACATAAGCTTACCTTTCGGTTCCTGAACAATTCCGTTAAGATTTTTTCTCCGTGCACCATTCATCGATATATCTTCGTATGGATAAGAAGTGTAAGAAGCATAAATTCCATTCAAGATGTTACCAAGCGACCGCAGAAAAAAATAAAATAAAGTAAGTAAAAGTTGCGCACTTCGATTTGGCCAGAGGTAACAGAGGTGGCCACAAAACACTGCCAAGTATCGTGAAAGCATTTAAAAAGTTCCTGAACGAAAACATTTAACATTTGACCAGGCAAAGAATGGAAAGAAAACTTTGGCGAAACTAAATTCCTCAGGGGTTCAGACCAAGTATTGATAGCCGCAAGAGAGCAAACATTAGGATAGACAATAGATTGGCAATTGAAGTAACTGATCGTGATGATTGTGGTCCCTTGATGTGCTTTTTTTGTTAAATAAAGTAGGAAATTAAACTTTCCAGTGATGTACCATTTACTGATATTTTTTGGAAAGGCTAAGACATATTGGTAAGTAAATTTAAAAATATTTAAATACCTAAGTTCTCATAAACTTCCTGAGTCCCACATAATGATTAAGAAACCCCACCACAAGGAGAACTTTTCACACACGCATTCTTTATCAAAACCCGCCCAACGTTTAACTCGAATATATAGTTTGCAGCTGTTTCCATGCAGTCTGCTAATTGCTGCAAAGACAAAAAGCTTGCGGCTAACTTACACTTGAGACACACAGAATTTCATTAATTTAAAAGTCGACCAAGCGACTGCACTTAATCCACACGGCAACAGAGTGGGCCGAGCATATTTTATAAATGAATTAAAGTTCCCTGGCAAACATTTAAAATTGCAAAACGGGCAGAAAAAGTCCAATAAGGGTGCCGAAGCTAGGAGTATAAAATTTAAGCCACTACTTAAAACTTTGGCCTTTGCATCGAAAGTTAGCCCAGCCCGGCATCAAAATTCGCAGTGACCTCAAAAATTTCGGCTCAAGGACCGACGAGATGTGTTTGCTGCCTGACCCCAAGGCAAAGTTAGAGAACTCAATGAAAATTTTAAATTGATTTCGCTAATTTGTTGTGTGAACTTTCGGTTCAGCCTAGACGATACTTTAGCATTTAAATACAGATTTTTTATCGCCCCAGGCGGCCAGACATCTAGCTCGACATACGCCCACAATCATAGGTATTTTTCATAGCCAAAAATGAAGACAAACCAGGACAAAAACACAGTGCCAGACATTTGTCAATGCAGCTGAGTAAGCAAAGATATCAGTTACCATGGGATGTTCAGAAGTCTTAGATAAACTAGGTGGCAATTTGCCACGCCCCCAAAACTCCCACGCACGCATCATAGCATTCTTTTAGTTGTCGCCCAGCATATGGAGTTCGGGTAATTAAACCAATGCGATGGCAGAGTGCTGTTAACATGACAAGCAATTTGTTGCGCCGACTTATGTGGCCCTGAGTTGCGGTGAGGTCTTACCTCTGACATGTGGCACTCGCGAAATTGCTGAATTTTCAAGGGACTATATTAAGGATTCGAGAGGTATGATTAATATAAATACCTTTTAAGTACCTATATAAATCAAATTTATATTATATACATAGCTTCACATTCATTTTCGACTTGTCCGTAATTTATTTACATTTACAAATCATTCATATTTATTAGGTAGTTACTAACATCTCATAAAAAGCGTGGAAGTTGTGTTAGTTCCACAGAAACCAAGTTCCTAAATTGTTCTAAGGACTTCCAACATGTTTGATTGAAACAAGTTCTGTTCAGGACTCTCTTAAAATGTCCCTTTTTCAAGCATTTTGAGAGTCCTGTTAAGTCGAACCACAAACAGTCGAACTGCGCTTAACATAGCAGCCGAAGTTGGTCCATACTTCAGTTCATCGTGGATTCTGTAAGTGTGCGGTTCAGGGAACGGATATAGAAAAGCGGCTTAATACTATAAGAAATCAAAGGATATTTTAAATAACAATAATATTTTTTAAATAAAAAATAAGGTGTGACACAAAAAAAAATATAAAATAACACTAATAAGTTTAACGCATAAAATAGTGTCAGTTTTTATTTTACTTAAAATATTAAATAAATAAAACACTAATGATAAAAAGATATTAAGAAAGCAAGGAATATAAAAATTATCAATCCCAAAAAGGTCCCTCCATTTTTAAAGTGGAATGTCAGTCACATCAAAAGACTGTCTGAAATTACCACACCCAACGGATTCCTATTCAACGCGATATGAAACAACCGTAGCAGCTATTTCTTAACAAAAAATCAATAAATATGAATTTAAATTGCTGAAAGTGGTCTTTGGTGGGCATAAATAAGTTATATCGCATATGGTTCCAGGCGACTGAGTGCCCCAGTAAGTATGCAACATTCGATTAACTTGTAATTTCAGCCTCGCACACTCGCATAAATGGGCAAACATTTCACTTGCTTAAAATTCATGCGATAAAAAAAGCAAAAATTGGCAAACGCAGCACTACCCACAACGAAAACTTATGGATAATTTATGCGTTCCTGTAACCGTTACCGTTAACCGGTAATGTCGATAATGTCGGGTGCCTCATTGCGTTCGATATACCGACATATACATATAGAATGTGCTGTTGCCATATCCCCAACAGTTTGTTTTCCGTTTTCGGCCTTGTTTAAGCGCCTTTATTAACCCGTTTGCGTATGGCATTGCAGTTGGCTTAAACTGTTCATTTCCGCACTCGTACATCGACTGCCATTTACTTATGCCCGTTAAACAATAATGCATTTTCGATTAATGGATCGAGCGGAACTGTCGAGTAAATCCTCGAGTTCAACTATAATCGAGTAATGGAGAATCATTAATTGGTGAAATATCTGGCATACTTCCGAGCATATACATCCTATAATTAAGTTTGGATAGGTTGCGAGCATTTTTATTGGAACAACATCTTGAGACCCTCGCGTAATCATATATTTTAATACAACAATAAATGTTTTTTGTAATCAAAATTCAAATAAACATAGTAGGGATTACGTTAAAGCTTAATAGACGAACATTTTGTTGTAAATTATTACATTTCAAATCCTGATCATGTTTCGAAACGAAGATTCCGACTATAGCCAAACAATTTAATTAATTTAATTTAATTACCTAAATTAAAATTGAATCGTGTCATACTATGATGTTCAAATTAAACCCATATTGTTAATGAAACTTATATTTGTATAAAAACGAATTAATCTTTGTTCATCCAAATTATATCCCTAGCCACATCTGTTGGACTAACTTTTTCCCCACTTTTTAACCAGTTAGAAATGCATTTGCATAAACACATCCCAAAAAAAAATACCCAAGGCAAACCCAACGGAAAACCCCATCGACAATTTGTCAATTGTCTTGGCAGTGCAGTTGCCAACATTTTGCCGAAAAAGATTGATGATGATGCCGAAAAACTTTCAGACTTTGAGCCGATTTTCTTGACTTTTTTCGTTGGCTTTACAGCTGCCATAAAAATGTGAAGAGCAGATAAAAATCAGAAAAAAGCGAGAATAATTTGCATGGCTTAGGTTTACTGCGGTTGCCGGTTCAGTGCGGTGATTGTAATAAATTGTCTGATAAAACAATTCAAAAGTCATTAAATACGGTTAGTCGTCGCTGGCATTGCATACATTTTGGCCATCGCAACTGGGATCTGGCCTTTCTCACAATTTAGGTCGCTGACCTAAATGCATTTTTTTTATGGTCGAACATCGAAAGTCAAAGTAATTTAATTTCGGTTTTCCTCTTGCGCCACTTTTATGACACACAGAGTAATGTCGTTGACAGTTTTCCTGCCGCCTTTTTATTTCATTTTTTCGTTAAGAGTTTTTTTTTTTTACTTTTAAGCTGTTCCAGCCAGGCAAAAAAATTGTCAGTCGGGCGGAAAAATGTGGGGAAGGAAAAATCAAGTGAAAAGTATTTTTTAACTTTGCCTTCTGTGAAACCTTACAAATGGCGCTAAGTTAACAAGCCCAAAGACAATGTCAATGTAATTTGAAAGAAACTTTTATAATACACGTTTGAGTCTGCAGACAAAAGCGTGAAAAATGCTAATTAAATCTATTGTAAATACCGACTGTCCTTCAAGCACCAGGGAAAATCTACTCAAAGCAAGAAAATGTGCAGAAAGTTGTACTCAATTTAAATAGTTAAAAGCTGCAGAGCCAATTTAATCAAGAGGAAAACGAGTCTGTAAATACAAGTTGTGAATTTCTCGGTTATCCAAAGGTTTGTATAAGAAACTTGTTTCTTTTAAACTTGTTTAATTAATTTATTTTAATTTATTTCATATATACAAAATATATTTTTATCTCTTCACAAAAACAAATCCCTCACCGATATGTATTGTAGTTCAATAATTTTAATCTTATAATTCTGTAAGCTCATCAAAAAAAAAAACTGTTTTGCGCACTTTATCATTTAAACCAAGCATTAAATTATTTATTTTTATTTTCTGTAAATTGCTAGGTTACACGAAAGCGTGAGTTGTTTATATTCATTTATTAAATTGAAAAAAATTCGTAAACAACTGAAATACAAATATTTAAATTCTTTACAAATAATCGTTTGTCACTCGTCAAGTACCAAATAACAAAGTGTGGTTAAATCTTTTCAGTCCAACTATTTTATAATCCTATTAAAATCAATTTTCACGACTCAATGCTCAAATATTCTCTAATAAAAAACTATAGTCGCAAATCAAATGTTATAAGTAAATATATAAATGACTACTAAAGTATTTAATGGAAAATTCCCATTTGCCCAAAGCAATAAAGTGATAAATATTAAAAATCAATGGCTTTTTTGTCAATACCATTTGTCAATGTAAAAAGTTTTCGCATGAAAAAAAGAAGCATAATTGATTTTAAATCCCGGGCAGTAAAACAAATAAAAAGCAAACTCAGTAAAGCAAAACGGGCAAAGTGAAAGTAAACAAAACTACAATCCGCACAAATGAAACGTTAATGGAAATTGAGAAAAATGTATAATCTATTTAAAATCGAGAAAGGAACTAGTTAAGAATTTTCCACAGCGTTTTAATTAAATAATCAGCCAACACAAAGTAAGTAACCAAATAAAAAAACGAAAAGGAATATGGTCTTAAATATATCAGATAATATATACGAAATCTTCTTCCTTTGATAACTTAAATTGAAAATGGAAAATAGAAAAAAATAAAAAACAAATCCTGAATATAAAACAAGAAAAACTATAATAACAAGAAGGGCTTAATAATTTAAGCAAAAGGAATCTTTAATCAAAGAGAAAATAAGTTTACCAAAATGAAGCTCTAAAAATGCAAAATCGTAGGAAATTCTCGTTCCTCTATTTTACACAATTCTGCGGTTGTCTTTCTTGGCTGAAAGTGCTTAGCCAAAACAACGCAAATTTGTTGCCAGTTTCTTGTTAGCTGATTGTTGTTGTTTGTTTGCACTGCCACTGCTGCTTGTTGACAACGGCGACAACGACAACGACATCAGTTTATTTTTATCAGTTTTATGCTAATAGATTTGAGGACACTTGCAGCAGCTGCTCCTTGGGGTAAAACGAAAACGACAAGGACGAGGGCCAAAACCGAGACTTATTTGGAGTGCGGCCAAAGTTGAGATTGGCGTAAAAATATGCAAAACATTCGAGCTGCTGATATTCAATGATATTTAACAAGCAAACTTCCGTTTAAAATAAAACGCAAAAGGAAAATTTGCCTTGACTGCAGAGCACACTTCAACCGCAACCAATTTATTTCTCAACAAAAACACCAGGCTGCCATCAACAACTGCATTTCGCTCTAATTATATTATTAATAATTAAGCTTGTCCAGAGGCCAAGTGCAAGTGAAACCAACAAGTATTCTTGTGGTAATGCTGAAATACACACAGCAGACAAATTGTGGTTAAAACCATTGATAATTAGTCTTTGGTAAATTCTATCATGGCTGCGGTGGAGTGGAAATTCGTGGTTATATTGACTTCAATTATCCTCGCAGAAGCCTATTTAGGACCTTTTAACAGAATTTATTTAACTATCTAATAATATTTAATAATATTTAAATCATAGATTTCAAGTCATAGACTGACTATATAAAACCTGTTAAAAAAAAACTTTTGTACGAATGATATATGGCGGTTGTTAGGAAAAAATTCCTCTCAAACCCTACTTAATATTCATTTCGCAGGACCCAAGTTATTTGCAATCAATATACGACCTTCTTGGAACAACCTTATTGTGCTCAATATAATTGATTGATTTTTTTTGGCGTATAAATTTTGCTTTATTTTTGTGCTCTTGAGCGGAAAAGTGTAGACAAGGGCGTTCGGTAATGGGCATCGAAACGAAATAAAATGTGTCAGTCATATTGATATTTTTTCGTTATTCTCTCAATCTGTGTCTACGGCCCCCAATCCAAATCGATTGCTGTTGCCGGGTTACTTGGCCCTTAAAAGAAGAGGATATTAAAATTGAAAATATTTCATTTGCCAACCTTCTGCATAGATGCGAGCCTGCAGTCTGAAGACATGATTGGAATTATAATAAGCTTCTGTCCGGACCAACAAAAAATGGCATTAAGATTTATTCCATTCCACTCTTTGTCTACAGTATATCCTTGGCGATGGGCGGTTCGGACCGACAAAACTTGTAGTTGAGTGTGTACAAGTTTTGTGCCGATTGTACATACATCACAAGTTTTGTATGTGTTCCGCCTTTGTTACGCTCACTTGAGCATGGTAATATTTTGCTGCCTCAAAATGTGGGCAACGCCAAATGTAAATATTCACAAATGTGCTGCAAAAAAATAGTGGTTGGCCTATGAAATTAGGATGGGAAAATAACTTTATAAGCTACATATCTTAAACTAACCAATAAGTGTCCAAGAAGCTGTAAAAAAAAGATTTTCTGTTTGGTAAAATAATTAACATATTACTATATCTATTTTCGGGTCGCAGCAATATATATAATCGATTTCCTTTAAACTATTTTAGATTACATGTTTTTAAGCTTGAAATGTTACTATTATTTTGAGAACAGTTGTATGCAAATAAGACCGCATATCTGTGTGTGCTCGAATATTTTTGTCCAATATATGTAAGCATTTTCTTTTGACACATTCGTCTTTTCACATCTCCTTTACAATTGTAATTTTACAACTATTGACTGGATTATGGAGCTTTGTGAATTTGTCTCTTTACATTACAAAACATAAAAATAAGAGCAGTTCATCTGCGATTGTTGAACAGCTGACTGCAGCATCTGTTTGCTTAGAAAACTACAAAATATTCTTTTATGGAATTATCCTTTGATCCATTTACCAAAAAAACATGTGCAATTTGTTAAGCTGCAAAGTTGACTGATTCAATGTTGTATGGCAGAAAATTTATTTATAGACTGTCCAGAGATACACTTTATTTGAATAGCCTAAGCCTGTAAAGCCTTTTTGTTGTCAAAATTGAAATGCAGATTGTACACATAAATGATTTATTATGCATGACTTGCGTAACGAACAAATCACACCGAACAAAAAAAAGAACTTATATACAAACACATATGGACAGAAGCGTGTGGCCTTAATTGGCAATTTTCCGAGTGGTGCCACATTTGTGGCAAGGGATGTCAGATTAAATGAATGTGGAGTGGATGAAATGATCATTCGATTTCGGGTTCTTGGATTGGCGTCAATACCATAGATTTTTCCCGGAAAATCTAAGGGTAGCTGTTGAATTTTTCGGCTGACAAAAGTAGGCCCCAATAACTGAGTGAGCATTAACTTAATATAAATTGGATTTCATCGCTCATTTCCATATTCAGTTGGTCAGGTGCCAAGAATCACTTCCTTTATTTGGAATTCCTTTTGGCCCACACGCACATCGTCTTCCGATTCATGTGTCTGCATATTTAATATGATATGTAGATTTCATCCTTATACGTTTTCGGCCATAGCATCGTTATCTTTTGTGCGTGGTTAATCTCCATTAAAACCAACCGTCTCCGTGTTTTTCATCTTCGAATGCCCTGAAACCATCGCGAACGTGTTGCGAAATGGAGCAACGATTTTTTCTTGAGACCGCCTGTTGATATTTAATACATATTTTTAATGGGTTTCCCTCTTTAAAGGTTTTTAGTCGTGTTTCTTGATGGATTTATTTTCTCTATCTTTGTTGCACACCAGTGTAAATGAATTTAAATTATAAACTTTACACATGTAATTTTCGTTGAAAGTACTGTATTTAAGAAAAGCTATTTAAAACTTAATAGGATTATTCTATAATATAACAAATCTGTTTCTTTTATATTAACAAATAAAAATGGTTTGGATTTTAACATTGTGTTAAAAATAATATAAATTTCCACGTGGGAAGAGCTGTTAAATAAAAAATTACAAAACTTATAAAATGTACCAAAATATCGCAAAAAATGATAATTACAACCAGGAAGTGAACCCAAATCAGCAAACCCTTAGTTCCACTTGAACGGATGCAAACAAACCAGTCCCCGCCCCAAGTTTGCCCCCCACTCAAGCCAAAATGTTTATTCATTGATAACCTTGAACCAATCCATACATCAGTTGTGATTTTTTTTTGTGCGTTGGCCCTTAACGCATCTGCAGTGATTTAATGACTGCCATCGACCAGGGTGATGGCCAATCTCCTGCCCCCAACGGTTACGCCCTTATTTATGAGGCGCACATGTCTATGGACTGATGAGTTGCAAGTGGCCCCAAAGGGATAATAACCCTAACCATAACCTAACACACACACACACGCGAAACGACCGACACGCAGTGATTTAAGCCCTGGTACTGCCCCGACCACGCGGCGTATGAGTAATGTGCTACGATTGACCGCAACGTTGACTTGTTGACGCCGCGCGAGCCAGTGAGCCATAAAACGTCGCACTTTTTCACAGATTTGATTTTTGATTTGCCCTCTGCGTGGGCAAATCCCAAAGCCGCCTTTTCAGAGTGTAGAAATTGGAAAACCGAGGCAAAAACAAAATGAAATTGAAGCTGATCCGGCTAGAGGGAATTGGTTCTTGCTCGAAAGTCCTACGGTCAGTGGAACTCATGCACTTAAAAGTCATAAATTAAACTTATAACCTTTTTCTAAAGAATATAATAAACAAATAAGAAAACTTTTTTTTAGGCTTAAACAATTTAAGAAGTTGCAAAACCTTGATGGAATACATTTGTATACTGTCTAACTGTAAGCTACTTTTTATGAAAGATGTTTACTTTCAAAGGGTTACTTAATTAAATAATCTGTTATAACGACTTACGGGAACATAAACATTTTTGTTATCTTCAAATAATAGTCTAATAATAATGTTTCCAATATATCTCTTCTGTTCGTCGCTGAAATTTTGTTAACAAACTCTGTGTTTTTTTCCCGTGCAGGTCACTTCTAATCCTTCTCGTAATTGACATTTGATTGGACGTGCCTGGCCATGAGGACGGCCAACTTGCCACCTGTCCGCTGCGTGCCCATGCATTAAATAGGCAGGGAATCGAGCAGGAAGTCCAGCCACCACCCAAAACCCACCCAGCCCCCCGAAAAAACCCAAACAGCCCCACACACATGACCGCGTCACGAGCGGCGAAACGAACGTGACACATGGCGATGTACTTTTATGCCAGTAAGATATCAGCCATCGCCTGCGGAATGCGTTGCAAGCAGACCGTGCTGCAAAAGTCGCGGGGTCAGCGCGATCGGGACAAATGTCGCCAGCACCACCATCAGCACCACCGGCGCCACCATCGTCGGCGGTGCCACATTAGCAGTGGCAGCAGCTCCGACAGCGAGTCTGCGGATGACTGCTGTCCGGAGTTGGGCGAATCGGGAGTGGATTCGCAGGGAGCGGGAATACAGGGACCTCCAGGCAGCATTTTCGCGCTCGATCCGGGACATCTGACAGCGGAGATGGCCCTTCTGAGCGGCAACATTCGCTACCGGCGACGACACAGCGCCGAGCAGCTGAGTGCCTACGATCTGGAAATGGGGTTTCAACAAGTCGAGGTGAGTGGTTAATCATTTCATTCCAGTTTTATATATAATAGCAATAGATACAGATGCTCACAAGACGTTGGTTTTAGGAGCGATGCCAAAAAGAAAAGAGCAACACGATTTTACACCTTTTTTCAAAATGCAAATAGGAAATAAACCAATAAACTCTCAATATTTAATTAATATTGGCTTTGTTTGTCTGTTTTCGCAGCTTGGCAACACAAAATCAGTTGGACAGAACCAGGACGATTTGGTTCAGTATGATGTGCCCAAAAATCCGCACAAACGCAGCCAATGTGATATTAATTTTGAGGTAAGCTATGCGGTAATTAAGGGTAACTGTTTGTCAATTAAATAATAATTTCCACTGGGCTGTCACCAGCCAGCATTTAATTAGATAAGTAAATTGGTTTGATTTTAGTTTACGTTGTTGAACAACTATTTTTTAATTAAACCATTAGATGACTGTTTTCATATAAATTATGTTTATATTTTTACAGAGTTCGGTTTTGGGGTTCGGTGGCATTATGTACATAAACGGTAGAATAGTTTCTGGACCATTGGACTCCCTTGTCGAAGCTCTCTTGCCCAAGAATGTCTTGGACTTAGATAAGGTAAGCCTACTATTAAATATAAATGTTATTTATAAATTTAGTAAAATTTAAAAATGTAAAAAAAGAAAAGGACTATGTTTTGTTTGTCTATATTTTTATTAATATCTGTAACTCTTCTGTAAATGTGTGTAAAATGAATTTTAGTATCGAATGAGGGTAAATAGTGAACATAAGGCAAATGTCGAATGCATAATAAATAATGTATAAAATATCTGTACCACTTCATTACGTTATTATTCAATATTCCATTTTAAATTGCTTTTGCATAAATAAATGACTGGATTTAAAAATTTTGAATGGAAAATAGATAAAGCAAGAAGGTTTGGAATTATTAAAATGTCTTGTTGGTTTTCCTTTCAAAATTCAAATTTTAAAATGGGTAAATAAAATACCAAAAATTTAGAAGTTTAATTTAATTCGAAGGTAGAACTCAAATAGTTTCCATGCCTAAGAAATACCGGCTCGCTCCATTATCGTATCGTACAGGCCAAATTAAATACAAACCAGTTCTTACTTAGTCACAGACACTTAAAGACTTGAACCCTAGCCAAGTTGCATTTGCTGGCACGAGCTACAAACCACTAACCAGAAGTCAACCGACAGCCCGGCGAGACCCTTGGCCAGGATCAAGGACCCCAGGCCCAAGGGGCAACCAAAACTAGGGACCGAACGCCAGCAAACAAGGACATTCCTCTGTGTACGGGCGCCCATTCAGAGGCCACAAGCAGCAAGTGCAAAAATAATTAATTCGTTGCAAACAAATCCAGAGATTAGCGCTAATTTGATGGGGCTGATGTGCGATGCCCTGGGCCAAGGAAAAGTTGGGAAAGACCAACAAACACAACAAAAAACACTATTAATTGGTGGTATCCTCCATCTGAGGAGGATAAACCACTGGGGGAAATACAATTTCGAATAGTTTTGGCAATTCTTGATTCAACAAACCAATTTTAATTAAATGCAGGACAAGAAATAAAATCATTTCTTTATAACTTCACACAATAAATAAGAAATATTAGATAATAATTGTACAAGCTCTTCGAGTGCTAATTTTCATTAAACAAAAAATACAAGAAAAAAAAGCAAACCGAAAAAAAGTAAAACAAATAAAAACCCAAAAAAAATGTAGGTTTTTAAGTATTGATTATAATCACTTTAAATAAGATTTAATTTGCAACACTTGCGCACCCTTGAATTGATTATGTACTTCATTATAGTTAATAAAAACACAATTAATACTTGGCAAATGTTATAATGATGTTGCTTTCAAGTTTTCTGAGTGTCATTTGCCAAGGATTATAGCATTTTATTATGAAGTTTGATAGCCCTTAAGCTCGCCACTAATCTAGTTTTATTTCTGTTTCCTTCCGATGCAGGAATTTGTATTCTCGTTTTTACTATCCTGCCGCTTGTTCCTGCGACCCCATGAATTGCTGGGCAGACTGCTGGACTCGGTACCTGAAAGCGAATGCCTGGAGTCCTTGGTCGCCCTGCTGACCGAGTGGACAACGAAGTTCCCCTACGACTATCGGGATGAGCGGATGATGAGCCATGTCAAACATATCGTTGCCAGGTGAGGAGAAAGTGCTTTCTGCCGTCTAGCCCAAATCGCAACCAATTAACCCCTCTCCTCCCCTCTCCACTTCACTCCACTCCACTCTGGTTCCCGGCACAGATATTCCAATTCGCATTTGGAAGCCGCTGTCTCCCAAACACTGAGTGCCTTACTAAAACGACTGACTGATTTAGAGAGACATGAGGCGGACCTACGAGCCTGCCAGACCAACGAAAAGGTGAGTATATAGCTTCAGTACCTGGATCAGTGCTGTCGACTTGGGCATACAACTGGAAAAATAGCTAGAAGGCATTTAAATAAGCTTAAAAATTTCTAGGGTTTACAAAAGTCTAAGTTTTATTGCCGCTTAAAACCAATTAATTATCGTTAACAAAAAAAACTATATAATTTTATCCTGAATTTCCAGATTATATACTTTTCAATATGATACAATCTATAAAATCTTATAAGCCACAAGTTATTCAATGAGCAAATGATTTATAAATTTAAAAAATAGATGTATACATATATAAAGATTTTTGCTGATAATGTACTTGAAAAAGTTCAGGAATTTATAAACAAAATAGTTAAGTTGGCAACACTGACCGAGCTAAAAACAATCCTCCTAATCTCCGGCAATTTTCTTGTTTTCCTCGTTTTCCCATTATGCCATGATTTGGGCTTTTCCCTGTAGTCTGCAGTAGATACTCCACTCAACTGTCCAACGGCCACGCAGTACGCACAAATCGTTTGTCGGCTGGAAAAGAAACTGGCCAAGCACATTGGCGGCGAAGAGTTCCTTCAGTGCAGCAGCATGATTCTGCTCGATAAACAGGTAAGCACTGAGAGAAATCATATTTATAAACTCCTTTAATACAATTAAAAGCTTATCAGAAAAGAATATGACTCTTAGATCAATTAAGACAAGTTTTTAAAACATTTAGAGAATATCCTTAATTTATTTGTAATTTATTTTTAATAATTGTTTTAATACTTCTTTAAAACTATATCCTTTAACGTCTGAAAAAATAAGAATTTTTAAAGAACAAAAGTGCAACACCATCGTTTTGCTCCAATGAACACTCTAAGAAAAATTGAATTATATTCTTCAAGTTAAATGCTCGCTCGATGGCAAATGTTTCCCTCTGCATAAGTCAACACTCGCCATAAGAACAATCTGCAGTTTTGCATAAATTACACACAGCACTCTCTCGCACAAACAATCGCACACTGGCACACGCACACACTCGTCGGGATTTACAAGGACATGCAATTAAAATGACGACAAGCAGCTTCATTAACAATGCCCCCGTCGTTCCATTGCCCACCATCCACCATTCACTCATTTCAACAACAGTCCTGTATTCTGTTTTCTGTATTCTGTATTCTGTGCCGCCTCCTCTTTTTTTTTAATGCAGAAGAAATGGGACCAACCATCCACGTCGGGCGCACCGCCAGGAGCCCAGGATCCGAAGAAGACGTGCAACCTGGAAACCTATCTGGATTGGTCGGCACGTCTCCGTCTGTTTGTCTGCAATGAAATACTGCAGGTGAGTGGACGAGCTCATAACCATTTGGGGGTCAGCACGAATGCGAGTACTCCACTTCCAAGTCCAATACCACTTCACTCCAACCGAGCCGTTCTGAAGTTAAACGTAGCGCATGAGTCCTTAGACCCAGTGGATTGAATTAAAATTCCCATGCATGTTGAATATGCAGGGAGGGCACGTCCAGCGAAGTCCTGGCCTAAACAGCTGCTGTTAAAATAATAGAACCAATATTTTAATGTAACCAATATTTTCAGGATTGTGGTTATAAAAACCAGCAATGATTTTCATAAAAAATATTTCTTTTTTTTTTATCATTATAACAAGTTATAAAATGTTGTTTGTCAGAATTAAAAAAATATATTCTTAGAATTACCACTCTACTACAAAAGCTGAAATTTAAAATTTGATTTGTAGGTCAAGATTTCAAAGAAAGAATTTTTGAACTAATATATTTCTTAGCAGAACAATTTCGCTATTGGGTGTATTATTTCCAAAACTATAATTTGTTTAATATAAGAAGTTTCAAACTACTAACATTTTCAGACGTATTCTTAAAGTCAGCCTTTGTTATTGATAGCAACTAAATCTCTGCCTTAAATTACATCGTTTCTACTATTGTGGCCCTAGCTGTATGAAGGGTGCATGCTGGCAAGATGGCTTATAATTTATGCCGTTCGTAACTGTCTCATTGACAGTTTGCCAGTTGGCCATGTAAGCGACTCGTTAAAACTTTGGCCAAGTCACGTGGGTCCAGGCATGTCCGACGACCCTCCCCTCCTGCCCTTCATCGTCTAACTAACTTCCGTAATCAAATAAATCTTTCATTTTCCCCGTACCCGCTGTAACATCATTGTTTTCTGCGCTTTCAGAGCGGTGGAATCGAGGAACGGAGCCGAACGGTGGAACTCTGGAGTGGTGTGGCCCAATACTGCCTACTCGTGGGCAACTATAATAGTGCCACGGCCATTCTGGAGTCCCTGGAATCCCCGGCGATTGCCAGGCTTAAAATTACGGTGAGTCAACTATCAAATACTATGCCAAATAATTCAGATTTAATTTATGCAAAGCTGTAATAAATGACGACCAAAAAAAACACTGCTGATATATGGTTTTATGTAACACAACCAAAAAATCTAATTTATATTGGTTTTATTTATCGCAAACAAAAACTAATTTAATGACAAATTGATTACCGCGGGATATAGTTTGTTGGCTGTAATTAACTTTCCTATGGCGTTTTAATTTCAAAGGTATCAATTTAAGTTCAAACTAATTAGGATTAAATTTATATATTTAATATCCAGCAAACACCACTCTTTAATGGAGAAATCAATCTCTATAAAAATTAAGATATACCAACCTTATAAAATGGTTCAAATCACGCACATTCTTAAACTTACTTAAGTCGAAAGCAAAACTAAATTTTCCTCAATTTCAAATTAAAATAGAACTTGGAACGTGCTCCTACATAAATTTGGAAAATGAATGCTTGAATTTGAACAGACAACAGTTTTATAGGCAAATTACGTGGCAAGGCAGTGAAATTGGGTTTTGGTTCATAATTCCCACGGCAAATTGCGCAGTGAAACTTTAATTGGAGTTACACAACGACGACATCCGCATAATATAATTCGAGGCAGAGACACTAAACCAAATAGAATATCATTTGGCCCTGACATCAATTTGATGACATTTCCACTTGGCGTAGAGAAAACATTTCGACTAGGAAATTTCCAGAAACTCGGAGATGTGAAACTAAAGCTGAGCTAAAGCTATATTAAGCGCAAGTACCAGTATACTCATTTGCTCAAAGAAAACAAGGAAACGGGCAAGGATAATAAAATTCTTCCTTTTGCCATATGAGTGTGCGAGTGGATGCTTATATATGCACTGCAATTGCATGTTGTTAAAAGTTAGAAAGCAGGGCCTTGAGGCCACTTACAGGCATGGACTGAAAGAAATGTTTTGATCGAATGAAATAAAACTTTTTATTAAACATAATTTATTTAAGTTTTAAAGGAAAGCATTATTTTTTTTTAGTTTAGTCAATTTTGAATATTAGCGACAATTTGTAGGCAAAACAGACATTAATTTGAATGTTAAAGCAGGAATTGAAAGTCCATGTACCCCCTTTATCTTCAGCTTAAGATTTAACATTGCATCTAGCCAAAAGAGCATTTTTCTTAAAGAAAATATGGATGTCTCTCTTGTTACACTCTATCCCATTCTTTTTTCTTACTATTTGTGTGTGTAAACTTGAAGAAAATCCTTTCGCCTCGAGGTTTGGACCCAATGCCTAGGATATTTGTTCGTGTCAGCAGATATTTATGCAGCCTAATGCATTTTGGCAAAAAGGAGCTTAAAAGATTTAGAGTCATGTTCGGATTTGGTCCGTCGGTTTTAAGTTAAATATTGAAAGAAGTAATGGAGAAGCTCTGGCCAATGATATTTGTTCAGCCTGTAACTAAATTCTATCTAATTTTTGTGATATTTTCATAACGGATTTTATTTAAATTTGTTTTGTATTTTTACATTTCTGTTATCGCATTTGGAATTTTACTGTTTAACAAAAACGAAACTTTATAATAATTATTTTATGCCACGTTGTCATAACAACAAAAGTTTTTCCACCGACAAAAAGGTTTTCCTCTTGCTGCCAAAAAAAATGGAATTGAGGGGGAGAACAGAGAAAGAGATGACCACGCCCAAGCAACCACATTTTCGCTGCAGTTGGCCCAATTTCATCAAGTTTATATATTTACTCACTTATTTGGCACGACGCCCGCACCTTCGCCTTTAGTCCTGTTTCCTTTCACCTACACCCTTAATACACCGCAGCAGGTTGCCGTGCATTCAGCAGCAAATGCAGCTAGTTTTCATTAAAAAACTTTTTAATTAGTTAATGGATTCCACATTTCTGCTTCCCTTTATTGCTGCCGCAATTTAACACTAGGCTTAGCTTTCTTTTTGCCCGCTCATAATACAAAAATCAAGTTAAAAGTTACTTAACGCTACTTTTTGGTACTTTAAATGCCTTCAGCTTATATTTTATTCATTTTGAAAGTTTTTTTCCCTCTTTCCTCTTTCCATTAGGATTTTGTGCAAAGTAATAAATGTATATATATTTTTTAAAAAAGTTACGATTATCTGAAAAACGTAAATTGTCTAGTGCCTTATTATTTTATGTTATAAAAAGTAAGATTTTAATTATTAGTTCGTTAGTTAGTTATCTTCGTTATGCTGAATTTTTCTCGCTATAAATTTGGTGGACAATGGGTGCGGAAAAGTGTGCAACGAAAAATGCAAAAATAGCAATCCTCTTGCCAAATAAAAAATGAAAAGGGAATTGCATAAATTTACAGAACTATGCAAAATTCGAGCAGCAAAAAGTGGGCGTGTCGTATGCATTGTGTTTCGAGAGATATACAGAAATATATTTCTATAGCTGCTCCTGAAATGTTTATGAGTGCGCATTGGATGATGGCAATAAATGTGCCCGACTGCAACCACAAGAAAGTTCCAACTTTAAATCATTTACCAACAAGAGGTGTAAAAAAATGCGCTATAAATGTGTTTCCTAACTAGCTTTACGTTTGCATTCAACACAAAAAATAATATTTTTCATTGAAAATCGCAATAAATTCCTGACACCCTGCTTAAGACGTTGTCCCTTTTTCAGTGTAATGCTTGTTAAAATCCCCCTTAAGCATTTCCTTGATGCTCCGCGAAATCCTAATTAATATGTTATCAGGCGAAAGCCAAATGCCGCCCATAAAATTCGATCTAAAGCTTTCCGGGGCAAATTACAAACATAAAACTCACACAGACCCACAGAACAAACAAAACCATAAACTTTTACAGCCCGAAAAAGAGAAACAAAAAAAAAATCGAAAACAGAACCCAACGCTGGCGGGAATGAGCCGCGTATCAAGATTGCCACTACAAATGATGCTCATTTATGGATTTCGATTTGATTACAGTGGAGTAAATTGCAAGTGACGTGTCAACAATTGGACTGCATGCAGCGCCATGCCGAGGGCCATGGACATTTATGGCAAAAGCAGGCCATCGTCTTAAATGAGCAGCAAGAGGGTCTCAAGACTGATAAGCCGCCAAAGGAGCAGGCGGGGCAGGGAGCAGAAGGTCCTGGAGGCGGAACTTCCACACCATCAACGGCCATTGCAACCGCTCACTTGGATGAGAGGCCACCGACAAGTGGGCGAGTGGCGGGCACAACAGGCACTTCCGGTAAGAGTGCAATTGGGCACAGAGGAAAAAATCATTGAATTTTACAGATATCAAATAAATTATTTTGTTTACTAAACTGAGGTTGAGAATTCAAAGCAAATTAATAAGTTCTAATTTACATAATATTATCAAACCTTACTGAAACATAAATTAATACTATGGCAAATATACCAAATCCTTCAAATGAACAAATATTAATAAATATTTAAATAATAGTGTTTCTATTTGATATTTTTTTGTATTTTTCTTAACAAATTTTTTGACATTTAATTGTCTCAGTTTTTTACTCATTTCTTTATTTATTTTGATGTTTATGTGATTTCAATTCTTAAAAAATTGTAATCTGGAACTTGAGTTGGCCAACACGTTTTTCATTGTAGAATCTGTATTCCTTATTTTTATATAATTTTTATATAACAATACTTAGCCATCGATATTTATTATTTAAATAAATATCAAAACGCTATGTCGATTGATATAAAAGGAACTTAAGTCTATTAAAAGTTGATAATATTTTCTTTCTGTATAGCAACAGCTGCAACAATGGAAACAGCTCCGGTGCCTGCGGCTGGCAGCAATAATGTGGAGGATGCAGCAGCAGCATCAGCACCAACGGCGGCAACAACCACACCGTTAGCAACAACGGGCAAGCCAAATGATTGGGTTGTTATTCCAGTGTTTGCGGATATTGTTAAACTGGCATTGGGCGAGCGTGAGAACTGTTTGCAGCGGTAAGTTCAATTTGCCTGTCCTGATTGATGCGGCACAATCCCCGTGGCGAGAGTCAAATCCAATGAAATTATATATTTGCTAGGCCAAGGGGTCATATGATTAATTTATGGCCCATTCGCATTCGCCGACAGTCGCATTTTCACTCGACTCTTGTTTCATTTATCTCCCGAATGTGTTTACCCTCTCATTTATATTTATTTACACTTTAAATTTAATTAACCACAGAGTGGCAAAACAAATGATGTTGTTCCCAACGACAAGGCGGATAATCATTTTCACGGAAATTCATAAAAAATAGCATAAATAGCATTTTTTCGTTTGCATTAATTTGTTTTTATGGCACGAGATGAAGAGTAAAATCGGTGGAATTTAATATTTTTTCCCCTTACTAAGGCTTTTATTTTAAATTGACGTTATCAAGTGATGGAACAATCATACAAACATTTTAATGGGATTTCATGTAAAGAACTATTTGTATGGTTAATCGTTCTTAATAATAAAATCGAGTTTTTGTATGCGTTCTCTCAGTTAAACCCTTTTTAGCCTTTAATTAAATTTTAAGCGTTATTGCAATAAAAGAAAATAATTAATACAAATAAGGCTAAACAAGAATGATCAAATATGAATTATTGTTTTCAAAATTTACATAATCAGTTTGAGAGCTTAACAATGTCAATATTTTATTTACACCTTTTTCAAATAAAGCCTAATGGCGTTTTCTTTTATTTATTCATTCCGATTATTTTCCACTGTTGCAAATTTTTAATAAATGCATCATTTAGAATCCCAAACCATACATTGTCCAAATCTAAACCTCTCTTTCTTTCTGTTGGCCCAAATCCCCACCATAATATGCATTGCTCCCTTTGGACCAAACGATACCGAGTTGAAACAAACAATAAAGTAAGCACCACCGACCACTGGTGGCCACAATTGACCTCATTAGACTCACAAATGCGTATACATGCCGTCGGTGCAATTTATTCTCTGAAATATAATCAGAACGCAGTACTGGCTATAGAGAAATGCGAAATAAATCCACATTCATTCAACAAATTTCAATGTCGCATCGAGTTTCGTTATGAAATGAAGCGTGTAAGCGTGAATCGACTTTTCAATGCACTAATTAAACGAACCGTTTCGGTATTAATTGCATAGCTGCCTCTTATTACACCGGAAATTTTTTAGATTATATAAAGTGACGAATATTCGAGAGAATCTTAACTCATTGAAATATTCTAAAAACTATTATTGTTAAAAAAATTATAGTTGATCTTAAGCTTTATCATTATTATCGAATCAATTTATTTTGCAATAAAAGGAAAAACTCAAAGTGTTATTGGAAATTTTTAGAAAGAGCCATAACTAAGCGATACACTTTTTTAAATACAACTTTTTAGATATATTTTTCACTGTGTAACCCCTTGCATTTAGCTTATTTTGCTTTGCTTTTCCGCATAGGATTTTCCATTTTTCATTTTGCATGGCAAACACAAACCATGACTTTTTATCAGCCAGCAAAACACACTTTCCCCACTATCCACTCGCACTTATGCTCTCCGCTTTTCCAACGGTTTTCCCTCTCTTTTTGCAGCTTAGCAAATGGCCACATCAATATGGCTGCCTTCGATCGAATGGCGGCCATTGTTGGGGCATTTACCAAACACATGCAGGCGATGAAGGCGGCCCAGGCGCCATCTAGCGGGGAGTACGAGCACTTCTGCCGGCACATGCAGCTAACTTCAAAACTTGGCGAGGCGGGTAAGTAATATTCTCCATAGTCCAAAACTTTCCTCCACCCCCTCAAAAGGGTACTTGATATTTTTTTTGGCTCGCACTCCACGTATTTTATCGCCTCTTTGCACATTTTTCACTGGCATAGAATTTGATACCCTTAGAAAAAAGGTAACTTTAATAAAATACGTGGAGGTACTTAAAGAGATTGAAGATAGTTTTTTTTTTTGGTTTTACCTAAATTATACTAATAAAGAGCAGTATTTAAAAATATTTTAAAAGCATATATTTACTCGGAAAAATATTTCTATTCGTTAACCAAATTAAATTAATTAATTAATTAATTAATTAATTGCAACGACATTAAATATATTGGGCGTGATAAATGTTATTGAGAACTTCAATAGGATTTTCCTATTATTAAACGCATACTCAAAGCTTCGACTTTTTACTATCTACCATCGTCTTCTTTTGTTTGTTTGCTTCTCATCGTTGTATGTAAACTTTAATAGCAGCGCGAAAAACAGTCTGCGACTTTAGTGGGACACGGAAAAGATTTTCCATGAACTATATATATACAGACGCGAACTAGTTAAATTGTTTGAAAAGCCTGTGGGGAAAATTAAATGAATTCGCGGCTGCTGGCACAGAACAATTTGAGAGTCGTTCCACTTAACGTTTATTAAAATACAAACAGGGGAAATATGGAAACAAGATTATGATCATAAAAACTGGAACCGCAAATTTTGTGGTTATGGCTATTTGGTTATTCCGCGTGCTTGCGATTGGATTAAAATGAATACAATATTGGATTATCCTCTCTTGTTGTTTATAGAGGACTTAATGTTCTTGCTGAGCATTCAATTAATATATCACACTTCATATTTCCACTTCTTTATTATCAACCCCATGATTTAACAGATTTTCCGCTAATTAATTCAAATTAATAACCGCAATAAAACCACAGACAGACACTTTACGACCACAAAATGTTCATGAACTTGGATAAAACTTAGCGATGGACCAGTAATGTCGCTCTTTTCTCCTTCCACTTTTTAAGCTGGTACTATAGAAACCCCAGCGAACCCTTGTTTTTATAACAATTCATTTCCGGGCTGTTGCTTCTCAGCCTTTGTTTTTATTAGCGTTGATGAAAAATTAGAGGAGAAGGCTTAGAGCGAGATTTAGTGGAGAATATTGTTTGTTGTTTATGCTAAATTAAATTGCGTTTCCCTCTTATAAACATTGTGAATAAAACCTCATACGAAAACAAGATGAACAAATTATACAACAATTTTAAAATTAAGGTTTTTTAATATATCAAAAGGTTGTACATAAGAAAAAAAAATTATTAATAAAAAGTCTTAACAATAAAAAAACTAATCATTTAATTACTATTCGTAGAATTTCTTACAAAAAAGTATTGAAAACCCTCAAGAAAAACTTCAATTAATCCGCACATCCTGAACCTTGTCAGCTCAGTAAATATAAACTGTGAAACTTCCCATGTCCTCAAGCCCCGACAGGACAACAAAGCTATAAAACAGCTCGCACCAGGAGGCAACAAAACAACGTTGCAACAAGGTGCACCACGTGTTTTCAAAGAGCGTACAAAGTTTTTCTCGAGCGTTCTCCTTTTCTTTTTCTTGTTTTTTGTGTAAATCCTTCTTGGAGCTGTCAGCAATGCCCGGCAAGTTGATATATTTTTCACGGAATGTGCACATGACAAAAAACCTGAAAAACTATACGGGACGGAGGGGAGGGCATGTTGCATGAAAGCCGGCAAAGACATCAAACAGCAGCAAGAAAGTGCACAAATGAAAAACGACAAACAGGAATGAACAAACGTCTTTTTTCAAGCCATTGAGCAAAATCGAATTTTCAAAGCCTTTTTATTGAATTTAATTTTTTAGAGACATATCTGGTATATAGTTGGTGCACATGCTTTCATATTAATGCACAAGAAATAAGGAAACATTATTATTGACATATAATATACTAGACTTTTTTTATATTTTTAAAAACAATGTGCCTAAAAATAGACAACTAATATTAAGTAACAAGACAAAAATATGTTTTTAAATAATGGTTTTGTACATTGTAAAAAAGAACTTTTAGAAAATTAAGACAATCTTAAGTATTATTATTAGCTCAACAATTTAATTGAGCTACAGTACTAAGCGCATAAGTAAATATTTTTCGCATACATCATCTGTAGATTATTTCTTAGCTAAGTTTTTGGAACACATAGCTATAAACGCAGTCGCTAACACAAACTCAGAACACACATATAGGATCCACGAACTCATTATAAACCCCGGCAGAGGAAGGCAACTTTTGAAGGCTTTGCCACTGGCGAAAACAGCACAAATACCAACAAAAGCGTAGAAAAGCGAAGTTGTCTTTGGGTGTTGCGGCAAAACGCATCTTGACAGAAGCGGAAGTTAAAGGCAAGAAAAAAAAACGACGTAGAATGAAAACTTATGGTGAAGAGAATTTTTTGTGTTTGGAAAATCAACAGCCTGAGCCTCGAGCTGGAAAACTTTATCGGGGAACGTTTCATGTCATGCATAACGGGGAGCTAAATGAGTTCTGCTGGGAAAACTCAAAGCCAAGGCTGGCTGGCTAACCAAGAAAACTCTATTTACACGTATGCAGTAAACTTTTTGAGGTGAACAATTTTGTGGGAAAAATGTTCTTTTTTGTTATAAGGTATCTAGAAATTTTTGATTTATTTTGTACATTTTTCGGAATCAAGCCGAGGAGCTCTTTAAAAACATGAAAATGTTATTAATTTATTCAGGGGCGAGTTGGCAGTAAGTAAGATTTTTTGGATGGAATTTTAAATCATTTAGGAAGAGGGCTAAAGTAATTTTTTTTTGTTTCAAGGTTTTCTATAAATTGTTAGTTTTTACTAGAGTAAAAGAAAGCCTTGGAAAAACGGATTAGAATCATTTTGCATTCCTTTTGTTTACAGCATTAGGACTTAGCCAAGTTCCGGTCGAAAGTTGGACTTGTTATTGTGGCTATATATTTGTTTTCGATGCTGCATCGATGTCAAACTTGTTTTGCAGGCTGTCCAAATGGCTTTCCACTGCTTTTTTCCTCGACTTGGTTCCATTATTTTGCAGTTGCTTGTTTAGCCAAGTCATGCGAACATCTTCTAAATCAGTTTCCTTTCTAAAAACTCAAACGAAAAACTGTCCACCAAGTCGAAAAGTTGGGCTAAACTTTAAGCCGACGTCAGCAACGTAAATGCAAACGAAGTCTTAGTTGGAAAAAAAAAACTATTGGAGTCTAAAAGTTATCTCCAAGTTTGATGCACTTTCGGAAACTGCATAAATAAATGTTGGTCTTTTATATCACTTGGCGACAAGCTGAAGGCATTTTCAGTTGGTAAAACTATTCCGATTCAGATAAAACTGATTATTTGTGCCATACAAAAGCTTCTGTTAATGAAATGTGTTTTGCCAGTGTGGTTACTCATGAGGTTTTCACACTGTGACATAATCATGTTTATAAGCAGCGGGACGAAAACGGAAAGGAGCGGAAGTGTAGCCAGAAAAGCGCCACCTGCTGGCAGCCTTGCGGTTAAGGACTCTTGGAAAATAAGGAGATAAAGGAAAATATATATGTTTGTGCAGAGAAAAACCTTTTGTGTGATGTCCAAACGCAGGAGGGGAGAAAATACTTTAATAAACCATCTGCCAAATTACATCACTTTAATCAACTCCTGTCCCAACTCTATCTCGTTGGCTTTATAATCGTTCGTTGTTTTCTCTTTTCACATCCTTTCTTTATTATCCTTTGGCCTCGTCGGACCACTTGTATAGCATTTTGAGTTTATTTAAGCCATTCGTGTTTTCATTCCTCCCTGCGACTAAACAAGTACTTATTCTCGGCTTTTATGCCCTTAATCTTTAGAGGTGCATTCTTGAAAGTTTTTACCTGACATTAAAAAAGCGAACAGCAAGTGCAGCCCGGCGAATTATATACACTTTGCTCCTTCTCTTGGCTTTCCACTCACTTCTGCTGGGAAATATGTTGGCCATACCAGGAATTTTTTAATAACAACCCCTTAATGTGGAGGTAATTGTCTGTTGGCTGGTTTACTCCGTTACGACCTCAGGGGGAATGTATGTCGGATTAAAGCCGGCTAAAATGTCGGTGGAATGCATCTGGTAAATTTTTAACGCACGGATTTATGAGTTTAAAAATAGGGTTAATGGCTAAAAAAAATATTTGTGGGTGGACTTAACAACTTAATTTCGTGAAACAATTTTAAACATTTACAAGCAACAATGTGAAATTAATCGTTGTCGTTAAGTTTTTAGATAAATATTTTCCTTTACCTTCTTCTATTACTTCTGTTTAAATATAATTCATTTCACATATTAGGATTCCAAATAGAATTGCATTACTATTTAAAAGAATATCCTAAAAATTCCAGCAAACAATTTAGCATACGCTGGAATGCTTTTAAAATCGCATCAAAGGATCACAAAAGCATTTAATTGTGTTCCCCCTTCGCTCCGCACTTCTGTGGCCCCATTTTTATTTTATTTTATTTTATTTATTTAGCTTTGTAAATCTAACTACACACACTCACTGGGCTATAAAGACATGAGCATTGTTATGTCAGGCAGCCACTTCACCATGTGATACGGCATCTGGTAAAAGGAGGATGGAGTCAAAAGGACAAACGTTGCACCGAAAAAGAAACGATGCCACTCTCTTGAATGTCTGGCAGGTCCTTTGACTGTCTTCCGCTCACATCCTGATTTTCCCAAGCAGGGGCCGAGATATGCCTGTTTGATGCGGCACGACACGTCTGCATGGAAAATGGAAAATGGAAAACTAGGACTGGGAAAAGCATCTCACAAATGCCAAAACACAATGTGCAGAAATTGCATTTAGATGTGCAAAGAAAATGGCAAAGAATAATATTTTCTTGTTTGGAGAATGCGAAATCGAAAATGTTTGCCTTTCCCAGTTCCTTCTATAACAATAATCCAACACAATGAGTGTCAAAAGTCTTAACCTCAAAATTTTCATTCGTGCTAAATTAATTGTTAATCACCATCAACAAAGCCAACCACATAATCAGGCCAACAAGTCCGAGGAATTTCCCACAAGCATCTCGAATTCTAGGCAAACACCACAAGCATTCTCAGGATTGGAATTTAAATTTCACTAATATATACATATATCTATTTGCATGGTGTTTCTCGTGCATGTGTTATTTCAATTGTGCTCATTAGGCTCTGGATATGGTAATTAGGACCTAGCCAATGATTGGAGCCCAAGCCAAAAGGCATGAACTATTCATTAAGCTGAAAGGCTGGCCAATGCACAATTATCCCTGGTTCAATGGCAGTGCAAAGTCGTTCACTAATTCTCATCATCATCATCATCATCAGCATCATCATCTGGCGAGCTCTGGTCTATTCTGTACATTGTTTGCCCGATAACTTAAACTATAAATTGAATTATAAATTGCAGGCCATGTTCAAATGGTTCTGTTGCTAAGTTCAGTTATCTGCTCTCAAGACAAATGCGATTTCCACGAAGGGTTAATTGGGAATTAAATGCTATACATCTAACAATGCATGTTAAATTTAATTAGTCATTACTTACTCTTTGCTAAGTACTAAAATAAATGTTTGTTAAATGAAAATAAACATGTATGCTACATCTTTAATGTTTTGACCAGCTGGTATGGCTTTTATTATTATTAGCTTAAAAGACAAGACAAAATATACATTTTAGTAAAATTAATTTAAGTGTCTTTTTTCATTACAAACTTAATAAGGAAGCTATTTCTATACTATTTTTTATCATTTTAATTGAGTATAAACATAACAAAAATTATATAATACAGAATGATTTCTATACTGCAAAAAATATATTTTTTAGAATATTTTATTTATTTGTTAAATAAAGTTTAAATAAGTGTTTCCCGTTTTGTAAACTACTATTCCAGTTGTAAAATAAATTAGAATACAATCTACTTATTACTTTCCACTGAGCAGTAAAAATGCACAGATTTATATTGTTTCAGTCACTGTCAGCAGGAACTTGACAGGTCGGCCGACAGTTCGGACATTCCAGATAAATACATATAGATAGTAGGAAACTGCAGCTAGTAACTATCCCCCTTTTCGCCCACCGGAAAGTCACATCCTACATCCTACATCCTACACCCTAAGCCCACAGACAGCAGCACGTTATTGGCATTCAGTTGTGGGCAGATTTCATTTTCTTTCTTGCATCACTCGAATGACAGAGTTTCCCAGGAGCCAGGTACCAGGTAGCTTGGGTGTGGAAAAATTACCGTAGACTGTCCTCGTTATCTATCACCTGTCCGGTCTGTCATTCCTTGGCCCTCATTGCTCGACCGGAGTCAAAACAATTTTACAGTAGTTACGGCTGTCGGCTATTGTTTGGTTTCTGAGCCGGACCAAAGTAATTGATGCCTCACTGGGTCTGGAAATATTTCACCGGCAACAAGGAGATGCCCATTTTTTAGTGTCTTCAAGGAGGATCTATTATTTTTGGACAGATGCGTGACATGAAGCATTTTCTGTGCTTTTGTTCAGGTGACAGATGAAAGTAAAGTTGAATTAATAAGATATGAGAAACTCTGTTCCATTTCTTTATCGTTTTTACTTTTTGTTTTTATATATATTGAGACTCAGGATTTAATATTTGTTTTGTTTTTGTTATAAAAACTATGTAAATATTGTAATATATAAATTTAATTGAACTGCTAAGAAAATAAATAACAATCAACATAAATTCTACTGAAAGCTTTTTAAACTATTCTTTCTGTATGTGAAAACCTAATCTCCTTAAATGATTTTTTCGATGTTATTTTTATTCTTTAAGAACATGTTTGAGCTTAGCTTGAGTGCTTCGCACCTTACATTTACCAATGGGCAGCAAAAAAGCGGTAGATTTTTGCATTGCAAATATAGGCTTAAAATTGTGAAACAGCATACACATTGCAATCAGCTTGAGTTTGCGCTCGGAGATAAGCCACTCTCTCATACTTTTTTCGATTTTGCAACTAACTAATGCCTGCCAGCCGCTCGTTAGACATTGTGTGGGTGGAAAAATACACCATATTTTGGCTCTTTTAAGTAACCGAACTACACCAAAACCCAACCAAACTGAACCGAGCCGCCTCAAAAATCTTCAGTTGGCCCACCAAGGAGGGAAATATTTACACGCCACACACGACTCCATTAAAACTAAACAAGGGCGTGGAAAGAAAGGACTCTGTATCCGGTCCTCAGTCCTGGTACAACAAAAAAAAATTTAAAAAGTGGGTCCATGGTTTTCGCCATGTTCCATAACCAACGGCAACATTTCTTCATGCGATGGGCGGTGGACTCAACTTGGAAAATTCTCATTCTCCACTCCGTTCCGTGCGAATGTTTTGTAATTTTTTGTGCTCAAGCATACGGAGTATGTGAACACCAATCCCATAAACACACAAACTGGGGATAGAGTTTGGAAGGGGGATTTTCGTAGGACCAAGATGGAGCCGGCCAGGCCATGCCACATTTTGCGGCAAGTCAAGCGCACATATGTTGGCCAAAAGCGCTGACCAAACGAGGCTGCTACCAAACATTGTAAAATTTTAATGGCGCTCATGGTGTGAATTGGACACCACCTCCTACTCCCCTAACACATATGTGTAGAAAAATTCGCCTTTTTTTCTGACAACATTATTAAATTTCCTACTATTAAAATGCAAGTGGACCGACGCAAAAAAAAAAAGGGGGTTACCACACTTGTCAGCACTTGACCAGAAGTTAACCCATCCTGAAATGAATTCCGGTTCAAGCTGTTCTAGTTAAACTGTTTTTTAGCCCAGTCCTCTTAGGACACTCCAAAAATTCATATGAAATTCAGAGGAATGAACTTAAATTTCTTATGTTTTTTTTTATTGAAAAGAAAACGTTTGTGTATCCAGAAAATTCATTAATTGTCTTTTATTATCTGCTTAAAGTATATTATTTTTCAAATATGAAAGTCCAAAAAGGAAAGCTTTTTTGGTAATGAAACCATCTAAAAACTTGCATAAATTAAAGTGGTAATTTAACATCTCCATGACTGCTCAAATTAATTTGTTTTGCACATTTGTGAGCATAGAATTTAAATATTGTTTCTTTCTGGGTTCATAAATTTTAACTGAATGCTCAAAGTTTGGTTTACCACTTCGTGTTCGTGCTAAAAATAAGTAAACCAAAAAAGAAACGACGAGCCCTCAAGGCCTGGCATTGAACACGTGTCGGTCGAAAGCACTGGTCAACTGAAAATAAGAATTGAAAAACCTTATAGTCGAAACGAAATGCCCTTTAAAAATTTCTTTTGTTTTATTTTATGGCAAATACTAGCAGCAGCAAATTATAATAATCAAGATAAAAAAAATGTGAGGTATGTTATTTTATTTCCCACAAATTCAGGATACCTCATATTTTGTTTTAGGTCTTAGTCTCAACTAGCTTTTTATAGAAATCATAGCACTCTTGGGAAGAGCAGAAATCAAACATTTAAACACGCATCACTGAGATTTTTTCGGACAATTTGGATTGTGTTTGTGTAAATGTATTTGGGGCATGTCCTTGAGTCCTGTCCACGCTTCAGTGTCGTTTTCAATCAAGTGGGCAAAGCAACTTAAATAACAGTTTTGTTATTTTTCCTGATTTTCAGTCGGCCTGCTGCTGTGGACAAACAGCAATTGTTTTTTCTTATTTTTACCAAATACTTTGATAACTAACTTAAGTTGTTTGTGTCTTTGCAGAACTTATGATGGCTTCATTTGACTGCGAGGAACCAAACAATGCTGAGAAGCTGATGTACGATTTAAACTAGTCGAGTACTTTAGGATAAATATTGGCTTAACTAAACATTACCGACTAAGAATGCATTTAATGTTAACTGAAACCGAAACTGTAAATACATGTTAGGTCAAGCACTTAGAGACATAAGGTGTTAAACGATAAGTAGCTAACAATAATCAAATTAGCTGTAAACACTATTTAAAATAAATGACGTGTAAAGTAATTGAATAAAAATATTATAATATTTGGCATACAAAGCTTTAAAAGTTGTTTTTATTTGGGTAAGTATAAAAAATTCTTTCCATTTAGCCAGGAATGAGTTTTGTGTTTAGTTTGCCAAATAACTTTTGTAAAAATCGATAAAAATAAAACAACTGCTAAACTTTTAAGACAATTTTGAAGGTTAAGCCGCAGGTAAATATTGACGGCCAGCCAAAGTTAACAACATCTGTGCTAAGATATTGGATAATTTTGGACATTGGTAAACATTGTCAGCTGCATTAACTGAAATAAAATCAATAAAGCACATCTCAATCAATAGGTCACTGAATTCAATTTCATTTTCTTATTTCGAATTACTGTTCATTCATTACTGTTCCTATTAAAAAAAAAAAACAATAAAAATTCGAGTTTTTCGAATAGGTTATTTACCAATAATCGCTGATAAAGTAATGCAATAATTTTAAAGCCCCAGTAAAGTGGAAAGCTGTATAGCCTAATTGCTGCCGGTTAAAAACTGCAGTTAAACCAGAAATATATATACGCATCTTATTTGTTTAACCATTGCATATTTATTTAGAAACACACATCCTTAATCTTAGCTTTACAGAACAAGTTGCAACAGTTTGGATGCTTGTGTGTATTAATATTGATGTCCAGACACTCCTGATGACTGCGATTGGGCAGTCTGAAAACAGCTGCAGAAAAGTGTGATTGCAAATGGAATATATTATTTTCATAAAGTATGACAACTTACGTAGCTTGCTCTTTCTGTTGCGAAACTCATTGATGTTGTCGATCTCGGCCTTACAGCTGAGGACCCAATTGCAGGGCTTGTCCCACTCGGAGCAGGTGAAATCGCAAACACACTGGTACTCTGGCTTTCCCTCGCACAGAGAATTCGAGTTAGTGACCACCGGGCAGAGTTTGTTGGAACAGCCAACAACCAAGTCGGAGGCAACGAAGAGGAGCAGCAGGCTCAGCAGAATATTGGCAGCCATATCGAACACTTCTCAGATGGAGTAGTGGTACAAATACCGACCCTTTTATAGTCTCCCCTGGGGATAAACTGGTCTATTTTTAATTTAACATGTTAAGCAATTGTGTAAACACAAGAGGATTTCTGGGTATAAAAGCAGGCTGTTTTGGTGGCAATATTTCAGTGCCCTTTAATTTAACATGGCTGCCACACGAGCTCTGCTGATATTGCAACTGGTTGCTTGTTTGATCCTCTCGACTTGGGGATGTCAAGATGCCTGCCAGCCATTTACGGGCTGGAACAACTGCTTCGACAACGGCATCAAGGAGCCAAAACTGCCGCCCCGCGATAATGCCTGCTGCGGACCCCATTGCGTCTACACGGGTCCGAATCCTCCGAGTTGTGGTCCCTGCGATTGCAACCCAAGAACGCGTTGTTTCCTGGACACCCATTGTACCGCCCTTATGCCTTTCACCTTTGTCAATGTGTCCGATTGTGACCTGAACAAGGCAAATGAAGAAAGGCAAAAAAAAGGCTTTGCCCGTGAGTTATTATTAAGTTTTAGAATTTTAAGGCATCCTCTTTATAACACTGTTTATAACAATCTCCACAGGTCTGCTTTCTTTCCCCTGGACTGAGGCAATTTGCCTGGGCATGAACAAAAAGTGCGGCATCAATTGTTGTTGCCGTGAGAATTGTCCTACACTGTTTTGTAAATTTTAATATAACCAATAAATTCTGTTTTTTTATGTCTTACCTCTTAAACATTAATCTAGCTTGCTTGTCATTTCAAAATGAAATGACAAAAGTGTTATCTTTTGGTGCTTCTTTCTAAAAATAGCCGTATGTTGGAAAAAAAAGAGTTGCAAAATGCCAGCATTTCCAGCCTCTGTGCGTTGAATCTTTGTCTGGCTTTCCAATCGGCACTAGTTGCCACATTGACCAACATATTCAACAAGCAGTCGTGGCCGAGCGGTTAAGGCGTCTGACTAGAAATCAGATTCCCTCTGGGAGCGTAGGTTCGAATCCTACCGACTGCGAACGAGTTTCCAACTTTTTTTACACACGAAATATTTTGTAAATATATTTAGACTGCACATCTGTTATATTTACCGCAGTTTTATTTTTTCTGATTTATTTTTTTACAGATACTATTTTTTTTGTGGCTTATGTGCCGAAACACCAGTAAGTGCCTTGGATTTACAGATACTATATTTTATTTGTTTACAACTTACAATGTTTTATTCGTTTCTTAAGTACTCTAAGCACCCTATGCGCATTACATTGTGATGTTAAGCGCACGAACATATGTTGTGCGATCGAATTGTTATCGTTGTTTATAATATTCCTTAAAATTATACAACTGCGGTAAATATAACAGATGTGCATTCTAAATATATTTGCAAAATAAATTGTTGGTAAAAAAAAATTGAAACTCGTTCGCAGTCGGTAGGATTCGAACCTACGCTCCCAGAGGGAATCTGATTTCTAGTCAGACGCCTTAACCGCTCGGCCACGACTGCTTATGTCTACGGTGGTGTCAATACCACACTTACATTACATGTAGAGAATTTGTAAAGTAAGGCCCGATAACAACTTATACCGAATTTAGTGTGACCGTTCACTCGTGCAAATGTTTTACATATTTAAAAGCAAGCGGGATGCTAATAAAATAACTTGGCTTTTTAATCAACTGTTATTTATTCGATTTAATATACATTTATAAATACTTTTACAAATACATTTATAAATATTTCTTCAATTCTACTCTATCGGTAAACAAATCGCGTTTCCATCTGACTATCAACTTGGTAAAGATCAGAAAAAAGTATACAAAATTGAAGCCATCGTTGGGCAAATTTCTTTTGGTTTCTCTTTGATTTCCGTGAAATGCATCTTAGTACAAACTGAATAACTAAAATCATATACACACTTACAAAACGAGGTCTACAATAAGGCGTTATTGTTGCTATAGTTAATGGTATGGTGCGGCCATGGACTTATAATTTATAATTACTGTCATACATCGTATTTTGTGTGCGGTGTCTGTTGTACATTTCACATATAAAAATATACATAATTAAAACCTGTTAGATCACAAAGTAAAATGCTAATAAATAGGAATTTGCTTACATATAAGTACATGGATACAAGTGATTTGCGTTAACTAACTAAGTTCAACTGATTCATTGTCTGTTTGGCTCTATAAAGGCCATACAAAAAAGCATAAAAACCGTTGTCGAAAAACTGCAATTTCTGCTTTAAATGCACTTTGCAAAAGTATACATCAATTTATGTTTTCCTGCTTGCGCGGCTGATAATTTTAACTTGCGTCACATCGATATTATATGGTAGAACTATATGTATGGGGTCTTTCGGGCTCGACTCCGATATTCCTTCAAAGATTCATATCCGTCAGCGACAACCAATTTTGACACAAAATCATTTTATAGTCGTGTATGCGTGTGGGGAACAGCGTTATGTCCTAAGAAGCCACCTTGCCGACTTCCTGCATCATGACCAAAGAGCCAACCATGGCCACCAGCGTGCGATCCAGCCAAGTCACCGGGTTCGGGTATAGGAAACCTCCCTCATAAAAGCCCAGATGACCACCATGGGCCACCTCCACGTAGGCAGTAATTTGCCGAGTGGCTGCAGAGAAAAGGAAGTTTGGGTTAAATATCTAACAGATATAGATATTTACAATATTGTCCTCTACTCACTGGCATGCTCCTTGATGGGATGCAGCAAATTCTCCGGAATTAGGGGATCATCCTTGGCATTAATAAAGATCATTGGCTTCTTGATCGAATCGAAGTAGAACAACGATGAGCTCCACTTGTACAGCTCCTGGGTGGAGGCGAAGTTGTACACTCGCCTCGTATAGGCCTCATCCAATTCGGGCAGCGTGGCAGCGGCAATAATGTCGCGCTCGTTGAGATTATGCCGAGCCTTCACTTCGTCAGACAGCAGGATATGGCGATGTCTCAGGATAATGCTTTTCACGTTCTCCGTCATGATGTACAGATAGAAGCGTCGGAAGTTCTGCCAATTGAGCAGCCATTTGGTACCCCTAAAACAAATTGCTTTCCAATTATATATATGTTCAATTTAAAGAACCTGAAATGGCAACTCACTCGACGGCATTGTAGCCTTGACATATGGATATGCCTCCAATAACGCTGTTGGGCTTTGTCTTCTGGTCCTCGCCCATGTACTTGGTCACCAAATTACCGCCCAGACTGAAACCGACCGCCACAATTCGAGTTTGACGGTACTTCTGGTGCAAGTGCTCCACCATGGCCGCAAAATCGTCCGTGTGGCCATAGGTAAAGATTCGCGTTGAGGTCACCTGGACACTACGCAATGCTCCAATGTGATTTAGCACCGCACAGCGGTATCCATTGCACTGGGCCAAATGGACAAAGGTGCGAATGTACACCGATTCCGAGCTGTTGGCAATACCCGGACAAATGGCCACCGTGATGTCATCTATGCAAACGTGTTGAGTGATTAACTCTTTTCATGGATTAAGGACAAGTTAAGTGACTCACCCTCCTGTTCGTTGAGTGGCTGGTACAAGTCGTAGGTAAGAGTGGACCCATCCTGCAGCGACATGTAGACACGTTCACCCAAGGGCCAAGGACACCGCACTCGGCCCACAATGCTGTGCAAAACTGTCTGGACATGACCACTAAAGCCCCATAGTCGTGGTGGAATGTAACTGAAAGTCGCGAAAACAATGTGTTTATTAATAAAAATATCTGCTACAAACAATGGTAATCAATAGCACATAAGCACAATCTAAGGATTTATAAACACCGAGGTATAAGCTTAATTTGAAAGATAAGTAAAGTAAACATTATATTTTTAATTCCCCATCAAAATAAATCAATCAGTGAAACCCTTTTATCAGCAAACTTTTTATCAGTTTTTTTGTTTTTGTTTGGCCACTTATATTTCAGTCATTGTGTTCTTGAATCTTTTGACCTTGACATTGCGCTTTGAATTATCTTAGCAGTAATAAATCTGCTTCCAGTTCGTAAGCAGGCAGTTTGCCAAATTTGACCAAATATAATTCATACAAATTGATTTTTGATTTGCGCCCAAGATTTTCAATGGGATGACTTACAAATGCGAAAGAGAATGGAGGTAAATGCACAAAGCAGCAATTCTGAAAACAGCATTAGAACCAATTGAACCTAATTGAGCACGCAACAACACCAGAATTAGATGGAGAAAGTGGGATGTGCACTGAGGAAAACAATTGACAAATAAAAGAATTCATAAAACTAGTATAGTAGTAGTTTTAAATTCTTAAGGTTAATAAATGGGAACATCTAAAACTATTCAACAGCTCTTACGGTTTAAAAAAGTATGAATTCAATTTTTAAAATTACATTTTTAAATGAAAGCTGCATTAAATAGTTTCGATTTTTTTCTTAGTGTATCAAAAATCATGTCAGGCGTGCAAAAACGTGATACAATTTTGTGTATCCACTTTTGAGCCCAGCAACAGTAGCCTTCCAATTAGTATCAATCAAAGTAAAATTGTGGATAAAGTGGGTGAAGGGGCGTGGTCACTTTGGGAACTGGCACAAATGCCGGCATATGTTTTTACCTGTTCAAATTTTAATCACTTTCAAACATACATTTTTAAACACCAATCAATATGTCTGTACATATTTAATAAATAATTCTCTCGCATATGTACATATGAAATGAACTTTTGCGTCGTAAAAATGTATCGTTAAAGGTTCTCTGCCCTAAAAAAAAAAGAAAAACAGCTGCAATTTTTTCCCACCTTTTAAGCAAATTTGCACAGTAAAGAGTAGACAATAAAAATAATAGCCTGCAAAAAGGTTAACAACAAAATGTGCAATTGAGTCATCGTCGTCGCAATTTTCAATGTCGCACCCCTTAAAGTAAACATCTTCACTTAGTGGTTGCCAGGAAATTAGATACCTTGAAAAGCTTCTCGGCATTTGATCTTTACGTAAGTAAGCATGTTTACGTTATATCATTATGGTAATTAAATCTGACGGTTTATTAGCCAATTTTAGAATAACACTTGTACAAATTATATTCTTTAATGAGAAAATAAACTGCTAAAGTGGGTAACAAATTCTAAACTTAATTTAATAACATAAATGCGAAAATATTTGTTCATCATTGGTAATTATTTTATTTTTGGGAAAATACAATTTCAAGCATTCAAATTTGGGAATGAATCTCATTTTAGGAACACAAATATTTAAGCATACAATTTTAAAATTGGTTAACAGTTTACATTTGAGTAAAATGTAATTTCATCACTTTTAAGTGGGTAGAAAAATATCATAAGATGGCAAAATTAATAGCTTCTCGAGCTTTTTACCTGTGTTAATCTCACCTTTCAACCGGTTTTTTTGTTGCCGAGTGAAAAGATAGGAGAGAAGGGAAGAAAGGTGCAGAGCAATCAAGAGAACGAGCTTACGTAATTTTTGTTGTTAAACAAAAGCGGCAGCCGACTGGGCAAAGCGCCAAAACAAAAAAAAAAAAAACAAAACAAACACAGGTAGTGCCGGCATTAGAATGAGCCAAATGCTAAATACAAAACTGCGCAAACATTTCGCCGGCACTTTTTTTCATTATCATTCCACATATCTATACACAAATACACATATTTTCTAAGGAACTCCCACACCATTATCTGGTTGACAGTCAATTTTGTGGCCATAATCGAGTTGCTAGGCGTTAGTCGCCGTCT